ACTCATCCGAGATAAATGAGTACTCATCTCAGACGGGCAGATGAGCGGAAGTTTTTTGCCCTGATTGGGAGCAACTACACAATACACTGGGCCACTTTTGAAGGTGCATATATTTAGTGGCTCGTTTGGCTTGGCAGTGGATAAAAGAACATGGAAAAATCTATATATGTATGCATTAAATTTTAGCTCTATATATTTAGTGGCTCATTTGGCTTGGCAGTGGATGAAAGAATGAGGAATAATCCACCTGTATATATGCGCTGAGTCTTATGTCTATATATTTAGCGGCTTATTTGGCTCGGCAGTGGATGACAAAGGAGAAAACGAGCCAAACGAGCCGGCTTGTTTGATGGATGATTAAAAGTGGCCTTGTATTCCGTAGTTTAGCCGAAGATTGTTTGCGTGTATGTGCTCGAATGTCAAATACTTGCACCTCATTTTCAGTACCTTGAGGTAGCTGGCTGGCTAGTAAAAGAATTTAACTGCGTGGGCTGAATTATTATTGACGCAATAATCCACAAAATTACACTTGTAAATCCATGTTTCTGTACATTCTTGAGTGACCAGGCCATGCTATTATCCCATGTGCCAGACGAATGTCTTTCTTTGAATAGACATAACTGAAACAAACGAAGCTACACAAAGCATAACTAGTCTTTCCGTGCATCTTACCTTGAAATCTTATTTTAATCAGGTCCAACGGATGCAGTACGAGTGTTGACGTGACACCTCCAGATACTCCAGCTAACAGATGTTCGTAACGAATAAAACGAGTTATGGATTGTCTCTGTGACGTTGAAGGACGCTCAGCAATTGCTTGGCGTTCGCTCATCTTACGTAATAATTGTGTGTAAACTTTCAAACGCTTATCATCTTTAGTACGAGTAGTAGCATCCAAAAATCACAGTCTTTGTATTTCATCATCCTCTGCCGCCATTTTGAAACTTGTCATTCTCGCCCCCAGTGTCACCTGTTGTCTTAGCCGGCGGAGCCTTGGCACGAGGAAATGGTGCAACCTAACCGGAAATGGCATTCATGGAATTCGGCTTCTCATAAACAAGTTTTCAACTCTCTGAAGGTCTGTAGGTAGAAACCAAAATAGTCGGGTAGATAATTTGGGGAAAGAAACGTAAGAAATAAACGTAAAATCTAGGCAGTTAAATGATCATAACGCGTCTCCAGAGCGATCTTTCCTGTAAGCAGGCGGTAGTGTTTGGGTTTCACTCTCAAGCACTGCTTTCAGGCTTTTCGCTTTGGCAAGCGAGCAAGTTAACGAACAACGTGGGGAACGGGGAGGGGGGTTTGGGGAGAGGGGTGGAGGGCTTAGAACACGCCTGCACATCGCCGGCTCGTCTCTCGCGTGTCTCTCACAGTTACTTCGC